CTGCAGCCTCGACCTCCCGGACTCAAGCGATCCTCCCACCTCAGCCTCCTGCATAGCTGGGACAACAGGCGTATGCCCTGCTAATTTTAAAATTTTTTGTAGAGATGAGGTCTCGCTATGTTGCCCAGGCTAATATTAAACTCCTGGGCTCAAGATATCCTCCCACCTCCGCCTTCTAAAGTGCTGGGGTTACAGGCGTAACCCAGCCTCACCCATTCTTTATTGTAGTTATACAGCAGGCCTCTGAAATGGACAGCCTGAGTAACATACTCTCACTTTACAGATCAAAAAATCAAAGCTTGAAGAGGCAAAGAGACTAACTCAAGGGCACTCAGCTCCTAAGAGGCAGAGGTAGGTCTCGAACTCACACCCACTGATTCTCAATCCAGATGGATTCTCAGTCTCAACAGCTTCCATTCACTATGCCTCAAATAGGATTCACACCCTAAACTCAGCACTTCATGTCCACAGCTTCTCCATGTGCCCCTCACATTAGCCTGCAAAGTGGATACTACCATTATCCCATTTTACAGATGGGGGAACTGTGGCTCCACCCCATTTTTTGAACCCTAGGGCCTCACCTTGGTATATCTTTTCAGTATATTACCAATTCTTAATGAGGGGTAAAGCCAGATACCAATTGTCTATGTCCAAGGGACTTTCTCCCTAAACATGTACTTGTCTGAGGCTCCCCCTGGGAGAGAGAAATGAATTTCTGCAGGTTCAAGCGTCTAGCCTTGGAGAGCAGTGGGGAGGCTTGGGTGCCCAGATTCCAGGCAGGAGCAGCAATGTGTGCAGGAGGCACCAGACAGGTCGGTGGCAGCACCTTGGGAGCTGGCGGGGGCTGAGAGGAGTCATGTCCTGCACCTTAGGGTCTCCCAGGCCCCCAGCCCTGACCTTGCACCTACTGTGTGTGAATCACTTCCCTCACATACGTGATTTGAGATCTTCCCAACAGCCCTGCTTTAAGTCTGTAAGACTGAAGTTTAGAGAGGAGAAGCCATTTGCTCCAAGGCCATATGACTGGGAGAGGCATCACCAGGACTCGAACCCAAGGCTTGGTGAGTGCCCTTGTAGCACGGCTCCCAGCTGCCTGCTGAGAAGATGGCATTGCTTTGGATTTGAGCGTTGATTGGTCCTCAAGAGGGCCTGATTTAGCTGTGCAGGGTGAAGCCAGGGGCCAGGGGTTGGTAGGGGACTGGTGGGGAGAGGACATGAGTTTCAGTCTCATTCAGTCACCCACTAGTCTGGAGACCTCTGTTTTCCCAGATGTGACAGGCACAGGGGGAACAGCATGGTGTCTAGGCCAACCCCAGCTCTGAGAGCCTATGTGCTCCACCAAGCCCACTCTTAAGCACCTCAGCTCTCCGGGGTGCAGAGTGAAATGGGTGAAAATCCAGGGGTACCTGTGGAAATGTAGCCCCTGGGACCTCCCAATTCATCAAGGTGGGGCCCAGAAATCTGCCCCCATCAGGTGATCTTTAGGTTAATTAATGCATTAATGGGTTTCCTGATCCAAACCTGTGACTGGGCAGGGGGAACACAGAGGAGGGCAATGGGACAGCAGGGGGAGGGGCCGGTGTTTCACGCTCTGCACATAGCATAAGTCACAGGCAGCTCTTCTGACCTCCAGTCTGCAAACTAGATATTTCTTTCCCCTTTTTCCTTTCTGATCTCGGAGTTGGCCAATTGCAGCAGCAAGGTGCTCGCCTACTCTGGCTCCTGGTCCTAATGCCAATCACACCTTTGTGCGCAGCCCTCTACAGTGTCCAGGGCTCTCAGGCAGCTGTGGGATAACGCAGGGCAGAGATAGGCCTGCCTGGTCACAGATGAGAAGATTGAGGGCAGAGAGATGAAGTGACTTGGCCAAGATCACACAGCTGGTCAGAAGCGGGGCTGGGTCCAGGGTTCTCGTACTTTTGACCTAGAGTCAAATACCTGGGGAAAACCAGGGACCCACACACACCCCTGCTGCTTCTTGTCTGGGGCCCGAGAGCACTTGCAAGAAGTCCAGCTCTCTACAGAACACCGTGTGGCCTTGGACAAGTCCCTGTGCCTGGCTGGGCCTCAGTTTCCTTTTTATAAACGGTCCCAGCTAGGTGGCCTAAGAAGGCATCTGTCTGCTTTGGCTTTCTAGGCATCAGCAACTCCACAGGGTAAAAGGATGGCAGAGTGGTCCGGCTGCCTAGGTCAGGGTCACGCCTACCTGGGGAAGGCTCCTCCACCTTCATCCATAGGAGATCCTCTTCACTCTTTCTCAGAATCTTGCCAAAAAATTCTTAATTCTTGAGCTATAGGTTCCCAAAATTTTGGTGCCCCAATTTAAACTGGCCTCATGTCAAAGGGTTAAAACGGGTAGGCAGACGCCTGGTGGCCTGGCTTCTACCTCCCCTCTGCCACATTCCAGCTGTGTGACCTTGGGTGAGTGGCTTTACCTCTCTAGATACAGTGTCCTCATCTGGGACATGGGGATAACAGGGCTGTGGGTGTCCTCACTGAGATGATACGTGCAAAGCAGTTAGCTGGGTGAATGCTAGCTGGATTACTATTATTTACTTGGGTTCCCTGACGCATACCTGCGGCTGAGCTGGGGGAAGGCAGAGGAGGGCAGCGGGACAGTATAGGAGGGTGCCAGCGTTTCAGGCTCTGCATACAACGTGAGCCACAGCAGCTTCTCTGACCTTCAGTCTGGAGGGGACTTTGGAGTCCGCTGAAGATGTTCCAGGCCCCAGCTCTCAGAGAGACTGGTCTCAGAGAGATGTTCCAGCTCTCAGAGACCCCACAGCAGTGGGCTGGTTTCCTGGTGCTGGGGAGAGGGCTGGTGGGGCCAGTCTGGGCTCCTGGCTGTCTGGGCCACGGGCAGCAGCTGCACTCCTGGCTGCCTCTGTCTCCTTTCCAACTTTGGGCAGCCTTCTCTGAAGAACAATAACCCAAGATGGCCTTGCTGAGTCTAATCACAGCTCCCTGGGAATATGCGCTGGCCCTCCCCCCATGCCTGTGTGAGGCTGTGGCGGGCACTTAGGATCCAGTATCCCTCTGTCCTCATCGGAAGTTCCTTAAGGGGCAAGCTCTCCCTAGCACCCACAGAGCCACCTTGCCTCCTGGAAGCTGAGGGGGCGGGTGTGTGCACGCAGTGTCCGCAGAGGTGCTGCATCTGTGTGCCTGTGGCCGTCTTCTTATGTGTGCAACTGACATTCACCTGTGGGCACATTCCAGCATGCCATGTGCCTGCCAGTGCACAGGCAGGCACGCAGATGGCATTTGGAGCCCCACATGTGTGTGCCTGTTGTTTTCACACCTGAGCCAGCCCTCACGTGGGTACACACATTTGTGGCTATTGCAGGGCATTGTGTGCAGCCTACTGCTTTCCTGTGTTAGTGCTACACGCATGTGTGGGCACGCTGCATGCACAGGTGTGTGTGTGTGTGTGTGTCTGTGTACTGCATTCATGTGTGTGCTGTGTTTTGCATGTCAGCATGTGGTGTTCAGGAACATAGGTTGTATTTACAGGTGCTGGGGTGTGGGCATGGGCATCTCATATGTGTGTATATGATTTGGACATATATGATACACTACTTATGGGTACTATATTTGTATCTGTGCATATGTGTGCATCTGTGGGCATGAATATGCCCTGATGTGAATGGGACTAGGGTGTGAAGGTGGCTAAATAATGGTGGCCATCAGCGTATTTCCTGGACCCCCCAATCCCCCACAGGACTCCCCAGAGCTGCAGCCCCTTCTTTGCCACTGCTCCTTCAACGAAGTTAACAGGCGGAGGCCCCCGAGGCCTGCGCTCCAAGCCCCCTCCTACTGCACACGTCAAAGGAGAATTTCTCCGGATGGCGCCCGCTGCTCCTGGAAATACCCCAAACGTCAGCTCTGCCTCCTCCCAGCGATTCAGAGAGCAATGCAGGAGAGGAGGGAGCCCCTTCCACGCTAGGCTCAGGGCATGCAGCATCGCACTAAGACCCTCTGCTGGCTGGTCAGGCTTGCCTGCTCACTTACCCTTCTGAAGGTCGAGCCAGGTTGGGCCTCTGCATGGAGGACCCAAGACCCCCAGGGCCCTTGCCTGATTAGGGCAGGCCAGTCCAGAGCACCCCCCAACCCCCAACCCCCAACCTGGGTGAGCAGAGGACAGCCGTGGTGTGGAATGGCTACTTGGCTAGAAAGGGGTGGCTGCCAGCAGCAACCCACTTTCAGGGAGTCCTGAGGCCCCCTGCTGTATTTTCCCATCCTGACCCTGCAGGGGGCAGGGAGGAGCCTCAGGTGCCATAGCCCTCAGCTGGAGACCACTGAGGCTGGCCTAGGAAGTGGGCTTCTGGGCAGAGGGTGTCAACTCCACCACCCAGCATGACTGCTGCAAAATGGCCTGGCCACCCCTTCCTGCCACCCTCCTGGCCAGGGAGGGGACCCAGGGACACGTCCCTGCCACCACATGACCCGGCTGGCCTGACCCAATGGGTCCCGGCACACAGTTGCCCACCCCACCAAAGGGACCCTTCACAGGGGCCTCCCTCTGCCTCTTTCCTGGGACTCTGACCAGGGTGGGCAAGGGGCACCCTCCAGTCCTCTTGGTCTCCCTGGGACTGGCTCAGAGAGAAGAGAACCTTGTCCCCCACCACCAGCTTGCTGGCCCTTGCATAACATCCTTAGGGGGCATTTGCAGTCCAGAGGCTGCCGGAATCTACCTGAGACCCCGGACATCCGCTTGTCCGAGGCCCCCCTGTCCTAGTCCCCAGCATCCAGCCGTCCCCCGAAACACGCGGACCCTCACACTAGTGTCTCCCTCAGCGGCGGCTCCCAATGCAGCCTCGGCTGCTGCCAGATAAACAAGCCCTGCTCCCACCCCCCCTTCACGCTGCCACCGCCACCACCATCAGCACTGAGAAAAATCAAATGAAATGAAACAAAATAAAATGGGTGAGGGAGGAAGGGGAGAGTGGAGTGGGGCGCTTTTTATTTTTTATTTTCTCATGCTGGGGGATGCCGGTACTTACTTGGCTATGAAAATCACCACCAATCCTGCACGGTTTCCCGGCGGGCAGCCCCGTAATCGCGGTGCGGCAGCTGGTGCCGCGGCTGAGCCCAGCCAGCGTGCCCGGGCCCCTCTGCAGACTGTACCATCCTGCCCGAGCGGGTGGGGGGCAGGGGGCGGAGGCGCCGGCGCCGGTTCTAGGAGAGCATCTCGCCGGCAAAATGCAATCTCGGGGGAGGCAGAGGCCGCCCCTGCCGCTGCTGGAGGCTGGGGAATGGGGGCGGGAGGACTAGGGAGGGAGGGACACAGGGAGGGCCGGTTCTGGAGGGGGGACGCGGGAGGAGAGTGGGGGGCGGGGGGTGTGTGGACCGAACCACCACGGTGTTGTTTGCGGTTTTAATTCCTCCCGTGGGATCATGAGGAACCGAAGCTGGCAGAGTCCCAGGAATATGCCCGCTCCCCAGAAGCAGGAGGGAATGTCAAGGGCACGGAGAGGGTAGGGCTGGGCTGTGCTGGAGGGAAGGGGGTCCTGAGAGTGGTGGTGGGGGGAATGGGAGCAGAGAGGGAGGATTTTGCTCAAATGGCCCCAAGTCCTCCCTTGCTCTCTGGGGGACTTATCTGGTTGGTCAGGCGCTCTGGCCCCCTCTTTGTAGTCAAGGCACCCCCAGACCTGGGGGACAAAGGGGCAAAGGTCGTAAGTGGAGAGAAGTGGACTCAACACAGTTTAAACACATCTGTGGTTGCAGGACCAGTGGAGCAGAGCCCGCAGCAGCTCTCTGCTGCCCTGAAGTGCTACCCCTGCTACTCGCCCTGCCTGTGTGCGACCCTGCCTGCCCTCAGGGGGTGTGGTGGTGGGGGCTGGCTTGGCAGAAGGGCCTGCCTCAAAGGGCCTTTTCTCTGCCAGGTGCCCACCAGCAGGGGTGTCTGCATGTCTGTACACCCACCTAATCTTCAGGACATCTATGATGAGTTGCAGGCTGACTGTGGGCTGACTGACACTTCCAGGGGAAGCCAGGGACCCCCGGTGAGGAGTCTGTAGGATTGGAAGCCCCTAGCCAGCTGCTCACCTCTTTCTGCCTCATCTCTGTCAGAACTGCTGCTCTTTTAACTTCAGATGGGTGGGAGAAGAGTCCTAAGAGCAAGGTTAGGAGGTCACTGGGGGCGAGGGGCTTCTTTAGAATTCTGAAGCCTCGGCCTCCACTGCCCTGCCCCCTCCAGGAGGAGTGCCCTGCTGGGAGGGAGGGCACTGAAGGTGGAAGGACCTTCAGGACCAGTGTCTCAGGGCACCTGTCAGGGTGGAGGGGTGCATGGGGGACAGAGGCAGGGCTGGAGGCGGCCTCAGGAGGCAGTTTTAGGCAGAAGCGGCCTCTTTCCCCTGCCCCCACCTCCTGCCCACCTCTGAGCTGCCCGCCCGAGCGTCCCGAGCTGCCGCTCCATCCCTGGGCTGGCACAGAATATCAATTTGTCTCGTTAAGCTGAAAGTCTGCACTGCACCAAAATCAGAACCCGGCCGTGCAGAGGGGCCGCGGGAGGGAGAGAGCTGGGAGCGCCTGCGGTGGGGCTCCCACCAGGAGGCCATGCTGAGACCTTCTTGCTTCTCACCCCCTAGCCCCATGGAAGGGTACCCACTTGCCCCTTAGCCTGCAGGGTGGCTTCAACGCAGGGAGGATGCTGAGAAGCTACGGATGCCAAGGGCTGGGTGGTCATTCAAGGCCCTGGACTCCACTGGGGCAAGGGTGTGACTCAGAGGCCAGGCAAGGCTCCCTGCTGGGGCTTTGACAGAGCAGCCCAGGACACCCCTCAGGGAGGATCTCGCCCCCACACCAGCAGCCCAAGATTGGGAGCTTCCAAAGCAGCCTCATCTCTGCCTCATCTTGGGGGTGCAGATGGGAACTCTACTCCTCTTAGGGGTGTAGTTGGGGGGATTCCACTGGCCACCCCTCTGGGTGGTCTTCTAAGTCAGCAGTCCCTAGTCAGCTCTACCCCAGGGACCAGGGCCAAGCATCCGCCCTTCCTCAAAGCCTACAGGCTCTCCATTCCCCAAAACAGGCCCATGTAAAAGTGTTCTGAGATGTTGGGGTTAGGGTGGGCAAAGATGGGCAGAGGGGGAAAGGCCCATTGCACCTCCCATCTGTTGCTAGCCTACATGTCTGTGCAGGAATCCCACCATTATTACTTCAACATCTTTGGTGGCAAACCACTTTCCCTGGTTACAAAATAGCCCCAGAAGCAGCCTGTTATGAGCCACACATTTCAACAATCACACTGCCTTCCGTGTCCAGCACACTTTACAGTTTGTAAAGGCCACCTACAAAACAGCAAATCATTTGATCCTCCCAACTACCTCTGGGGTGGCTGCTGTGAGCACCCAAGCCCAGGGCTCCCTGCATGCGAAGGCCATCATGAGTGTGGGCTCACTGGGAGCCCTAACACTCATCTGCTCCCAAGTCCTGAGTCTTGCCTGTCCAGTGGTCCCTGTCTGGGATGGGCTGGGCCCTCACCAACATACACTAGCAGCCAGACTCTCAGGCAGTTGTGGATTTTGGTTTTCAGAACCTAAGGCTAGAACTGCCACCTGGCCAAGTTCCCATCTCCTTGACATTCCAGGTCCCGTGTCCTTCAGTGCCTGCATCCACTCCCCAGTGACTGGATGCCCCCATCTCCTGAGGCAGTGCAAATACTGAACAGCACAGTTTGAAGGTTTTCCTTCTGGGTATACCCCGGTTCTAGGCCCACTCCTACTCATTCTTCAAAGTCCAACTCAAATGCTGCTTCCCCAGACAGTCTTCCTGATTCCACCAACTGAGTTGGTTCATGCCTCCGTTCTAGCTCTGACCACACTGTATTGATGGTCTACACGTCTGTCTCCCTCACAGGGCTGTGACCACATCAGACATGTCTCCAGCATCCCAGGTCTCAGGTCCCAGCATGAGTTAGATGGTGCAGTAAAGGCTTGAACGACTCTGCTGGACCCTCGAGAACTCCTATCAAATTCTCCCATTTTATAGTTCAGCAAAGCGAAGCCTCAAGAAAAAGATTAGGCTTGCCTAAGGTCATTCTTGAGGGTGGAATCTGGCTACAAACATCTGTTCCCTGCCCCGTCCCCTTTGCCTTCCCTTCCTGCAGCAGATACACCTGGGTCATCTGGCCTGTCCTTCCAGGATGTGTTGGGGGGCAGGGGGTATTGGACAGGCAGAGGTGTTGTGAAATTAGACAAACAATGGCACTAGTGTTGCAACTCCAGGAAGGGTGGAAATGACAGGTCAGGGTCAGCCACAGGGAAGAGGGGAAAAGAGGCAGGAGGCCAGCTGGGAGGATTACTGATAGCTTCTGCCTCCAGCATGATTTGGCTTATGGTGGACACCGATTGAGAGTCAGGGTTAGGGAAAAGTATGAGAAATAGGGGTGGGGGACAGAGGGGAGAGCCAGCCAATCTGATTTTCACTCTGTGTTTAGTTGGCCAGACCACGTTTTTCTCCCTTGGGGAGGGGTTCTGGAGCTGAGACACAGGGTGAGTGAAGAGGGTCAGTTTGTCTAGGAATGGGGACACGGAGCTTCGCCCAGGCTGCTGGAGGCTCTCTGCATGAGGGCAGTAGAAGAGGTAGGTCCAGACAGGTCTGAGGGGAGAGGACTGAATGTAATTAGAGGCCAGCTGTGTCCTCAGCATGAGATGTGGGCTCTCTGTTGTCTCTCCTCTTTCTGGGAAGCATGGATGAGGCTACCCCTGCCCTTGCCTTGCCTGGCTCGGGATCTGCAGACACCTGGGTAGGAGTCCTGGGGCAGCTCTCAGGTCGCTGCTGCCACAGAGAGCTGTCAGCTGGGTTCCTCGGGGGATGAGACGGTCTCCTCTGATCCCCACAGATTACTCTCAAAGAGCCCGGGCTTCTTCCCATTTTACAGAAAAGAAAATTGAGACCTGGAGACCAAAGGGCCTTACTTAAAAGTTACAGAGCTGGTGAGGACCAAAGTAAGATCGAGGGTCCTGCTCAAACCCTAGGCCCTTCTCTCTGCGTCTGCCTAAAGTTACCCAAGTTTGAAGCACACAACTCAGGATCTCTAGCCCCAGACCTTGAGGGGCCATGGACTGGGGATCCAGGGGGCCACATGGGCTGGCTTGCCCAAAATCATCTCTCCAGTCTCATGGAGGCCTCACACCCACTCCCCACTCCCACCAAGGCCTGAAACTCCCTTAGCCAACCAGATCTCAAGTGGAGGCTTTGTGTCCACACAGACCTGGGTCCAACTCCTGGCTCCTTCACTTACTGGATGTGTGACCTTGGGCAAATGACTCAACCTCCCTGAGTCCCAGTTTTTTTTTCATCTGCAAAATGGGTATGATAATACCTATTTGGCGGGGTTGCAAGCTAAAGGAGAATGGCAGCTGTTATTAGTGGAAGAAGCAGAAGGTGAGATTCTCCAGCAGGCCCCAGGGAAAACGCTGGTGGAGAGTGGGTGCCTTCCACCTCCACTGGCTGATAGATAAGGGTTCCTAGATACCACCTGCAGGGCTGGGGCTGGGCTGGTCTCTAGCCTACTGAGATTTGAATGCAGGTCACCAGTTCTTTCCTCCTTCTACTGGTCCTTGCCCCCTCAGGGAGGAGGTTGTAGGCCTGGCTTCTGGAGAATTCTGGCCAGCCACCATTCACACTGACATCCTACTATGTGCCAGGCATTCTGTGCACACACCTCATTGTGTGTTCCTCACAAAACCCTGGGAGGTGGATCCTATTTTTATTCCCATTTTATAGATGAGGAAACTGAGGTACAGGTAAAACAATGTAGCCCGAGGTCACAGAGTGAGTAGGGGAATTGGAACTTGAAACAGGAACTGCAGGAGGCCCTGCAGCGAGCCCAAGAACCCTGTGGGAGGTGGGGTGAACCTGGGTCCAGGAACCGCTTGGGACCTAGGTTTCCCAAAGTGGTGGGCATATCTTCCTGGCCACACAGCTTAGAAAATCTTAGCCCCATGAGGGCCCACCCTAGGCTCCCACCTATGTGGGGCAGGTGAGTGGTGATGGTTGACCCTGCCCCCCCTCTAGAAGGCCAGAGGCCAAGGTCAGGGCCATGAGCTCACAGTGTTACTGTGGAAACAATGAGGGATCTGGTGCCTTTCCTCCTGGAAGAAGGGGAAGCAGGAGCTAC